GCAGAGACGCCGCGGCTCCACCTGGAGTGAGAAGCCGGACTGCGGGGATCGGAGGGGAGCACTGAGTCCAGGATTTGGGGGGGTGGGGGTGGCGTGCAATGCTCGGAGTGGAGGCCCTGGGTCTCTCTCATCCCTCCCCCGCGCCCTTTCCTGGCGGCTTCCCCGGGAGGTGCCCCTGGAGCACCCTGGACCGAGGGGTGTGCGGGGCTGGGCCTTGGGGAGTGGAGTTGGGGAGGGGAGTGGGACCCGAAGGAAGCGGGGTCCAGGTGCGGGAGAGCGCGCTCCTGGAGGCGGGCGCGGAGGGGGCAGAGGTCCCTTCTTCCTGTTGGGGCCCTAGGAGAACCCGAGTAGCTGCTGACATCTCGCCGCCATGGGGGAGATGGCCTGATGGGCTCTTGGTTTTCCATCGGGTTCGAGGCAGGACAGAGCCGAGGGTGGGGCGAGCACAGGGTGGATGGGCTGTGTGTGCGAGTCAGAGATAGTGTCGGGAGAGGCCCGTGCCCAGGACACAGGCAGTGTGCCCTGGAGGAGGTCACGGGAGGAAGGGGCGTGCGGAGGTGCAGGTCCTGGCTGGGAGGAGGGGACGGTGCCCAGGAGGGGGGCATGCGGGAGGAGCCAGCCTCCCGGGGTGAGGGGCGATCAGTGTCAGGCCAGAGTGTCCGTAGGAGGGGAGAGTGCCAGGATGAAGGGGCGCACAGATCAGTGTCCAGGGAGGGAACGAGCAGTTCCAAGCTGAAGGGGCAGTGCTCCGGAGGGCACAGTGTGATGGGGTCAATGCCAGGCTACAGGGGCGGTGTGAGCAGGGTTCAGGGCGAGAGGACAATGGTGGGGAGGGTGCGGTACCAGGGGAAGGGATAGTGCAGGCTTTCCTCTTCCCCATAGTGACATCATGGCAAATTCCCAAACTGAAAGGACCCAGCTCGGGTGACATCCAGCAGGGCCGAGCTGGGCCAGGCCGGCCTGAAGGGCCTCGGTGCCAGCTGCAGGGGCGAGGTAGGTCCGGCGCCCTGCGGAGCCGGCGCTCTGGGGGCGGGGTTCTGCTCCGCCCTTTCTCGGCGCGGACTGTGCCCTCTGCAAGCACGCGTGCTGGCAGGGTAGGGCTGGGCTGGGCTTCTCTGGGCCAAGGATCAAGGTCTCTGGCTGGGCTAGGCCCCCAAGCGTTCCAGTGTTCCCAACAGGAAGACTGGAGAGGGCGCAGTCGAGCCTCCGCGGAGAGCGAGGAACCGCGCCACCTCGGCGGGAGGTGGGGGTCTGTCTTATTGTGATCCCGCCCTGGGGCGGGGTTATAGACCTGAGGCCCGCCCTCAACACTGAAGTCGCCGGAGCGTAGTTCGGGGCGGAAGTTAGAAAGCCCCGAGAGCTAGGCGACGGAAGTGGCCGCGCTTCTGCCTCCTGTGCGCAGGCGTTATTCTATTTCCTTGCGGTTGCAGTGTAGGCTGCACCTTTTCCCTTCTCCCGCTCCTTTTCTCCGCGCGAGGGGGTGCGCGTACTCGTAGTCGTGGTTGCGCGGTCAGCGCCCCCGGTGCTACCCTCGTCGTCCTGTTACCATGGCCGGCATTCTGTTTGAGGATATTTTTGATGTCAAAGACATCGACCCGGAAGGCAAGAAGTTTGATCGAGGTAAGTAAGGTATGTAGAGGCGGTTTTGGGTCAGGGACTAGTCCGGTTCTCGGGGACACGCCCCCGGGCCCCGGTCCACCCAACCCACGTGGCATGCGCCTCCCATCAGGTCCTGATGTAGGGACCGCGTTCAGGAAGCACTTTATAGATGAAAGAACGGAGACTCCGAGCTCTCCTGGGTTCACACATGCTGTGCCCGGTGCCTGGGTGGCCTTTTCTCGTGGTGCTGGTAAACTCCTGGGCATCTTTCTGGTCCCTGCCCGCTCTGCCAGGCGCTGTACTGTGCGCCTTCCACGCTTTGTCTGATTTCTTTCAAGAGTCTGCATGAGGTAGTTATTGTCTTACCCGTTTTTCTCCGAGAAGTAACCCACCCAAGGCTGCACAG